AACTTTAAAAAATTTTTGGTTGACAAATTCAATGATTTAAAAGCGAACAATGGCAACACTGTTAAAAAAAAATCTCCAGCGAGAGAGACTGTGTGTCGGAAATTTTAAAGATATGCTGTTTTTAAATATTGTGTAATGATTGATGTTAAACTGAATTTTATGGTTCAAGTGCAAAGAACATGATATTAATAAATAAAGGTAACACACGAAAACATTACTTTTTTTTTTCTGAATGCTTCTGAGATCAATAAAGTAGTCATCTTCTTATGTCCCAAATGATATTTAAAGCGAAAAAAATTTTATTGTTAATGTCCATATATACTGTAACTAATTTTCATGTGAACAGTAACTAAAAACATTTTTGAAACAACAACTAAAAAAATATATTTGAAAACTGTTAATACCTTTCCCAAATGTATGCATGGAAGTACATATTCCAAGTATGTACACTAAACGGATGGTTTGAACTCTTAGAATGGTTGAAATATCTTTAATAAATAATTCAAATGTTACAAAATTCATCTGAAAACAGTTCTAATATTTGATAGCTAGAATGCATAAGCCAAAGCTAGTAGGTCACAAGGAATGAAAATTTATAACAATAAAAGGTAGATCTTGCAGTCATATAGAAATTTCTCCCTGAAAATGCATTTAATATTAGGCGATAATGTAAATGCATTTGACATCAGGTAAGGTACTGTCCCAAGTCGTTCAACAAGTTATATCTGAGGCACATTAAAAAATGAAGATCGAGAATTCCTGATAAATTTTTCCCATTTCTTGATATCTACTTTAAATGCTGTAACTCATATCTTTATGCAAAAACATATTTTATAAAGACTATCAGCTTTTTGAAGCACGAACCATGAAAAACCAACTATCCCTTAGCCGTAATTTCAACCACGTATCTCCTACTTTCAGCTGGACATGCTATATCTCGACACCTCCTACGAAGGCCTACCAGCGGCCGAGCGGTAAAATCGCCGACCACTGGTAATGCTGTTTCGAATTCAGGCAAACGAGCTGTCTGCATGAGCTTTTTCGTGGTTTCTCCATGTGTAACGTGTATACGAGCCAGTTTCATTTAGAAAGTCCTTCGCGAAGGCATCCCTCCGCTTAGGGAAATAGCCCTAGTGTGCTTTGCCATGATAAGCTAAATCAAACAGCACCTACGAAATAATTCTTTATAATTTAGAAATGTTAATTCTCTATAATTTAGTAAAATCTTTACGCAGATATTCTTATAGCTTTTATTGATTATTTTTCAGCTTGTCTGAAAGTTTACTAAGCTTATCTCTAAAATGACTGTCGAAGTTAAACCTCTAATTTACCTTTCAAACATTCATTCAATTTTAACAAAAGCGGCTCCAATACGGGATGTAGTGAATAATAACTTTAAGAAATGGTAATTAATTCTTCAGAACAAGGCTTTACAAGGTATATTATTGAAATAAACCTTGCCTCCTCAAATTTAATCGCAGCTTCATTTTGATTTAAAAAGGAAAAAGGTTATTAGAGCTAGTTTCTAATTTCTTTCTCTGCGTTCAGTGTTCAGATTACAAAACTGTAATTCAGAAAACTGAAGCTGAAAGAAGAAAGAATAAAGAGACCAAGGACAGTTTTACATAATCATAAGAGGACAGTGTCTCTAAAAGCCATGCTGTTTTAAGCAAAGCTTTTTTTTACATCTATGGTCATTCAGAAGAAAATAATGTTTCGCAAATAATGGTTAATTAAACAGCGGACAGCTGAGTTGTTAAAAATGACCTTAGGTTCAAATGTTAACGAATAATTTTAATCATTTGTACTTCTTCAAGTATGTCAATAAAATTTATTGAGGGTTTCATTTAACCTCATTTTTAACCAATTTACGTGCCATGTCATGTTCATGTGCATGATAATGTTATTTTATTAAAAGCCCCTTCATCTGTACATGAATGGCAAGCATGATTTGTTGAAAATACACATTATATTGGAGTTTCAAAACATTAAACTAGTACACTTAATTACCATTCACAGATTCGTGTAAAGCTTTTAATATTCACCGTTGCTTAACTGTCATTGATAAAGCCTGAGACAGAGAGACTCAAAGGATCACGAATTCTGCCTGGAGGATTATGGCCAAATTTTGTTATAGACAGCTTTTGAGAGCTTTGTCTTTTCTCTTTCTCTCTTTTCTTTTTCTTTTACGCTTTTTTAGTCCGAAGGAGCAATTTGCCTAGAAGGCCTATTAATTTCGTTTTGGCATTTTGCTTTGATTCTCTATAAGCATTGTTTCACTTTTCAAATTGTTGCCACCAAATATTATCGTCCTGTATTATATTTAAAGAAATTAAATAATGAAAAATCTGCATAATTGTATGTATGTTTCTCGCCCTGTGATAAAACAACGGTACCTGGAGCTATCAAATTTTGAATAAGGTAATCCTCTTGCGAATATGGCCATCTGGAAGCTCAAATTTGAAATTTGGAATTGTTTTATTATCGATTTCATATTTTGTAAAATTTTAACGAATTTTTGATTACTAAACTCAAGGATTTCAAAGCGAGTAATGGCAACGTTGTACAGAAAAAAAAAATTTATCTCTAGCGCGCGAGACTGTGAATTGGAAATTCTAAAGTTACGCTCATTTTAAAATTATTTTGCGATATTGCTGTTGAACTGAATTTTATGGTTTAAGTGCAATGAACATGATCTTTAAAAAACAAAGGTAGCCCACAAAAGGTTAAAAAACGCCCTTTGGACGTAATATAAAATTACCTTTCAAATTTTATTTTATTTTATTTTATTTTAATTTTTCCCTCTTAAATTGCTGTAAATCGCCGGATATCTTTTTTATCCATTTGCAGAAAAGTATTTAATATGTAAACGACCGCACGTGATTCACACATATTTCAAGGGTAAAGTATATACAGAAATGTATAAATCTAGCAATTTTCTAATTTTATTGAATTTCTATTCATTAATGTATTAGTTTCGCATGTGATGTACATTAATTGTATTGTCACGAAATGAATTAATAAAATATTAAATAATTAATCTTTTATTATAAAATTTTTTAATTAAAAGTTACTTAAATCCTGGTAAACGAGCTGTCTGTATGAGAGATTTTGTGGTTACCCCTGGTGCAAAAGTGTATACGAGCCGGTTTCCCTTAAAATGTCCTTCGCGATGACATCTTCCTCGTTAAACAAATAGCTTCAATCTTTAGATTGTGACAAAGCCGCAATTTAAATTATCCATAATCAAAAGTTACTCTAGGCATAATACGTTCATAAACGTCAAAAAAATTCTATCAGTCGATCTAAGGATTATAGTTCTTAAGCAATATTATAAGTTAGGAAGATTATTGTACGATTTGGCTGTTGCGTTGCCCAATAAAAAATTTTTAAGATTCAGTGTTAGATTTTGTCTTATACTTTTTATCTTTATTCACTTTTGACATCAATATAAACTGATAAACTGAACAGTAATGATCATTATCAGAGAATCGTAGAGAGATGGCATACTGAAGATGCATTAAAATATCCTTGAGGTGTGAATCATCAAATCAGTGAGGCAGACAGAACTCCTTTCTTCCCCATTCTCCCCTAGCTACCCACACATGCAAATGACCAATACTTATTTATAAATAACTATACATGATGTTTCGATAAAGATCAAAATATGTTCCTCAGTTATAATCTTGAATCCAGGAAAATTTCTTGGGTAATAGTTATTCTTCAAAGTTAAAGAGGAAATAAAGAATAGAGCCTTGATGGCTGAGATACACTTGGATGGCTACTTACTAAGTAGTAAGCGAGAATTATCTTTTGAATTTTTGCTGTTCTAAAGACAAACAACAAAGCTAACATGGTGAACAAAGCGCATTGTTTTCAGGTTTATTGTTGCCATTTTACTTGGAACAAATAAGATTCGAAGAATCCAACAACATGCAGAAGAAAATTCAGTGTATTGTTCATGCCTGCAGTGCATACAGATATAATCAGTGCTAGCGAAATTCAAGAATTATTATTCTATCGAAGAATTTTCAGTGAAAACTAAATTGATTTTACTTATTTCATTAAAACATTTATTTATCACATCGTTGAAGAAAAAACAGACTCCATAATTTTCAAATAATTACGGATGGTATTTATTATATAATACAACGAGCTCACGAAAATTAATTTTTAAAGCAATATCAAGCATTACTGAAGGAAAGGACTAATGACAATGAAATCTTTTTAAAATGCTTTGAAGAAGTTTTCAGAAAGGGGATTTCGTGTCCTGGCAAAATAAGAAATACTGTCAGCTGAAGAAATTTTGTTGCAGGCCTAAAGTGTAAGTTTTCTAGCGAAAAAAATGCACAGTTAGGTCTTGAATAATTCTTTTCATTATTGAGTAAGTGCCCAATTCTCCACATAACGTTGATTTACGATGACGTATTAATATAGTAATTTTTTTCTACAGTATAAACCCTATTGAGCAGTTCATTTGAAATACAATATTTTGTGTTCTATATTCTTAATTTCCTGGAGACTAGTTCTTCAGTTAATAGACTTAATATAACTACTTAGTTTAAATTTGTTTCAGGTGTTAAACTAACATTTGCATGGAAAAATTAGATTGGAATTGTTTATGCATTAAAAATTTTCTGATTTAAAATTTTTTAAATATTTTTTCAACTTTTAAAAAACTGATGATAAATTCTTACAGGTGGCAGACAATAATCCGAAGTTTTCTAAGATTACAATTCCTTTTTTCTCTTTTTGTCATATCTTTTTTAATTCTTGCATAAATTTCAGTTATCCATTCACAAAAATTTGAAGAAAGCAAATCGCATAGCCTTAAATACATATGCATAAAACTTTAAACTAAACAGCCTCAACAGGATTCAAACACCATTATTTTTTTTTCTGTTTCGTCAAAAATATTTAAACAAAAACCGATTTTCGAAGAACATGAAATCCATCTCAGATAAGTTTGGAATATATGCGAGTCATTAACAAAAATCAAACTTTGAAATTTTTATTTCAAATACACATCAATATTTGTAAATATTATTAAATATTATAAATCATATCATCAGTATTGTAAATAAATCAATATATTTCAATACATCTATAACTCTGAGTATCCTTACAGAAAAAATAAAACTTTTGATCACCTATGCATATTATTTTGCTTAATCTCCAAACGTCAAATGAAATTCTTTTTTCATTGCTTTTTTGTTCACTTGATATGAATATGCAGCCAGATAAAGTCCATAAATTTATTATTGTCAAGGCTCTTGACCATGACCTAACTCTTGACTCTCGAAAAGAGTTAAGAAGCAAGTCAAGAGGAAAGGGGTTGCATCTCTCTTATTGGCTTAGGCACCTGCAGGTGATTTCTACCCTTCTTCCATACCACCAATCTATAAAAAGAACTTCCCGATCAGCTATACTTTAAGTACTCCCATGCCACAAAAACACCATGCACTTAGTATTATGCCTTTTCGGGGAACCCGTACCCAAGATTATGGCAGTTGACTCCTTTATGACTGTATCGTAAGGGCTGCGGGATAAAAGTTTTGATAATATAAGAGAAACAAATTCGTTTTGTTAATAAATCATTTGATCATTTATGTATCTCTAAGTCTGTTATTAATCATTACAAATTTAATGCAAACAGGCAATTCCTTTTAACAACAAAAAAATATGCGTAAAGAAGGAGAGTTTTGAAAAAGAGCTCTAAAGTTTATTTATTCCGTTTACATGAATGTATCTGAAATAAATGTGAAGCTGATGTCAATTGATGTTAAAATTGTGAGCTTAAATGAAAATTCTGAAGATGATTTGGTCACCGATGATCACTCTGGTGCAACATCCAGTGGTAACTTTATCATTTGGATTGGTGGTATCTCTGGCCAATCCAAATCAGGTCCACGGTATGCTCGAGTTCTGTTTCGGACTCGTTTCTTCATTTTTCGTTTTGGATAATATCTTCTTTTGTAATACAGGCGGCGGCTCCATCCTTGGTTTCGCACAGGCTCATAAGGAGCCATATGGTTATTGACCACACCATGCGCTAAATCATTTGATATGAGAAAAAAGGCAAATAAGAGGGTAATTACAGTCCCCTAAAAATGAAAAAAAGTTTTGTGAGTAAATTGCATACCATTAAAAATAATTTTTTCACTCGAGAAATTCATATTTCTTTACACATTAGAGTGCTTAAGTGTAAAATAATAAATATTAAAGTTAAGTCAAATCTTAAATTTTCTCGAATTGGAATCTTAAAAAAATTTTGAAACTTTCAAATCTTTCAAGAATAATAACAGGAAAAGAAAACAAACCAAAAGTATGAAACATTAATTAAAGCAAAACTTGAAATCTGCATTTAATGACAAATAAACTTACGAATACAATTTCTAAAAACACCCATATGTATAAAGAAGGTGCAAATGAATCTTGTAAAAGCTCGATACCTTTACAGATTTCCAGGAACTTCTTAAATCACAGAAAATGAAGAATTATTATTTCGGGATTTAACATAGGAAACGGAATTACCTCTAAATTTGTAAGAAAAATTAACAATTTACTTATGTTACGAGTTCATAAAATTGTACTTGCAAAATGACACTCAAGGCCGCCATGAGTGAAGCAAGTGATCCAAGTACCACTGAAACTTACATAATCGCGTTCTTTTTTAAATTAATGCTTCCGCTGGACGTAAAAAAAAATTATTTTTTTATAAATGGATAAATTAAAAATTAAAAAGTTTTGAGTTAAAATGTTTATTGTTTTCTAGGCTGGGATGCGAAAGATTCGAATGATGAAAAATGCGCCAAGATCTGAGATTCCACAAGAATAGACCGAAATATTCTTAAATATTTTCACAGGAAAAAGAATATTACTAATATTTATAAAACAATGCAGGTACAAGTAACCACCATACTCGAAGGTTTTTGTAGACGTAGATAAATCAAAGGCACTGTATTTTGTTTAGTATCCCACTGTAGTCAACTGGTTATGCTGTGAACTCGAATGGCTGATTACAAGCTTTTCTTGAATTAAAGAAATCTTTCACTGACTTTCTCGAAGAAGAAGAATTAAAATTATTTCAGTCGTTAATAGTTATTTCAGTTATTTTCCGTTATAGTATTTTAAATCGTTCAACCAGATAATTATACTAAGCAAAGACATACACAAAATCAAAGAGCAATTCCTTAAATAAAACTGTTTGAGTTTTTATTTTTAGATGAAGATGATCACTATGCATTTATTATAACTCCAAAAGATATTAAAGGCAGGAAAGAATTACGCTATTACTAAATTGTCTTAAATCTTGCAATGCAGCTTGTTTATTCATATAAATTAAGCTTTGAAAACTTAATGATTGAAATGAATTTATTTCTAAGAAACGAAATGGTTCGTTATTATACAATGCTATCTGGACTAGCTAGTAACAAACTGATTTTTTAAAACACCTGAGCCGAGTAGATACAAGGAGAAATATAAAATCAGATAGAACAATACATATGCGTAGATTAGTAATCTATAGTTAAAATCCAATAATAAGAAAAACGTAATTTGCAAAGTCCCTACCTCCAGTTGCCAAAACAAACTCAGTGTAATGACTTAATTTTTTCTGATATCTTTTAGAGTAAATTTCATTGACTATACTAGATGCTATCCATTTTTCTAAATGATGTTCTGAAACCTAAATGACTAATAGTATATTTATATGACACTGCCATCATTTTCTAAACAATCTCTGTCTACACACTTGCATCCGTCTTAAACGGCTCCTCAGCTGTTGTTACAGTGGTGTTTTTTTTTAATTCCTTTTCAAAACAAAAAAGAAAACAAAATCGACCGATACTCGTGGTACTTGCTGGATCTCTATTCAGCCAGCTGCGGATAAAATTGTTGGGACCAAATGCATATAGGTGGAGGGCGGAAGACGTGAAACCTGTTAATGAATGTAATCCGATGGAAATCGACTTATAAATTGCTTTTTGCCATATTTGCTTAATGTTCTTTGCCTTGTGCGTTGAAACATTATCCAAGAAAGGAAGTCAAATTTTAGAACTGAATTGCTTTTCTTTCTTTGTAATACAGTCACGATGCAAATGATGCCAGAAAGATAGAAGTAACAATGTTGCCACGGTGACCAAAGACTTTTCGCACCGTTGCTGTCACTGTGTCACGTTTATGAAATTTTGAGTAACATTAATTTCACGTAGTACGCCGATCAATTCTGATACAGTTTATATTTTGCTTTAAAAAGAAAAGAAGAGGCACGTGGAACAGAATGTAATAAATCACAATAACTTAGGAGGGATCATATTAACCAACCAACCAATATATGCACCCACCTCTACAACTGATTGCAATTATGGGGACTAATTCTTGACATTCATTCTCTTTATTTGGTGGATGATAGACCGAGTGCGTGGAAGTGCCGCTAGAGGGCGATAGAACATTTACCATCTTCAACGCGAAATCTAGAACGCGGATTGAACAAATCTCATAAGATTTAGAGAATTCGAAGTCGGAATGATTTGACTGCCACGCTACCTGCTCGGATAAGTAATAATTAGAACCGGTTCGTGTATATTATACATCCAGAATCGAGACCGATAGATTGCAGATCTCAACTACTACAATAAATCACCATAGGGAGGAGGAAGGATATCAGACTTCCCGATGATATTTGTCTCCGAATATTTTGAGAGTTTAAAGATATGAGCAAAACAAAAAGGGATGGGGGGGGGGCAAAAATGGGGCATTTGCAATTAATCGTAACTTCTAGAATATGGCGTACCAAATGGCGTTCGTCCTCAATGCTTGCAATCATACTAGATTGAACATATAGTATGGCCAATGTTTAAGAGATTAAGATACTCTATCGTAAACGCGCCTCGTGTTATCCACTTTCTCGAATTTGATGTACATATGCTGGCGAATTCGTGCCATTCTATGACAGCAATCCCATGTACAAAATGTTATAGTAATCCCATATAAAAAATTTCAACGTTCTACTACTAACAAATACCAGACTCATACTGAGAGATACATATGTACGTACAGATGTCATGATCTAAATGGGTTCGGAAACGGTCAAAATGGATATTTACTTTGAAATATGATACCCGAAAATTTTCGCGATTACATTCCTTTACTTCGTACAGCTAAGTCAAAAGGACATTAGTAGCTTCCCCCTTTTGTTATTATTATGATTCTCGTAGCACAAGTTTTCACAATTTTCATATAATAGTTGCAACCCTTTCAAAGCATAAAAAAAAATTATTAATACATACTAACCGGAGTTAAGATCATTTCTTTGCAGTTTATATTTTTTATTGAAGCTCTCTGAGTAAAGCTCTTCGAGTTCCTTGAATAATCATCTGTAATAAAAATTCTGAACATTAGACACTTTTTATTACAATCAAAGATTTGTTAGAAATTCCAATAACTTATCGAGTTCGATATGACAACGAAGAAATTTCTACCATTTAGTAAAGCAACAACCTTGTGCTTGGCGTAGATTTTAGATAAGACTCTATCGATTTCGAGAGCAAGCAGGTACAGGCCCCTCTCCATTAGAAGAGTCTTGACTAAAATCTATGCCACACATTATTGTTGCTGTGCTAATTTTATCTTTTATTCTTGCGAGTTGGTCTTCTATCTTGTTTCTATCGTTTATTAAATTGCAAGCTTATCAAACAGTTTCGATGTTTACGGTTCGTTGAATTAAGAGGAACACAACCGAAATTGAGATACTTAAGATTTTTACGAAAGCATTTTAAACTGTGTTTTGTGACGTTAATTTTAAATATCACATATGGAAGTATAAATCGTACTAGGCAAACAGATTCGGCGCTAATGATTATTCTAACAACATTTGTTGACCAGGCTAAATCAATAGCTACATGTTTTTATTTTAATATTTTGTTAAATAGTAACAATATTTTTAAAAAGCTTGTCTGCATTATTCAAACTTCAAACAAAATCTGAAAAGGAAGAATTTTTCAGTTACATCAGTTTTGTTTTTAGCCATATGCACTAATATGAAAAACCGAAAGAAAGCTATTTCTAAAAGTTGCACCTACAAGATCAGATACAACTTCGCGTAAATTTAACAGTTATGAGCATGCTTCAGAAAGCTGGTGCACGTATAAAAAATGTAGCTATGAACATAGTGATAACATAGTAAACAAAGAGATAAAAGCGAATAAAAATCAAAGAAGATATGGGCGAACTGTGTTTGAAGAAAAATTTTGGCATGAATTTATATAAAGTGGCATCCGAACTCTTAATAACATTTTAAGCTTACGGAATGTGTTCAGACGCATATGTGAAAATCGCCGTCACTCTCCTACAGAGTACTAGGATAGCTTTTCACTTGTAAGAAGCATACTGACGTATTATGGCTATTCAGAGTGCAAGTCGGTTTCATATCTAATAGGACTGTAGATATCTCGAGAAATACAGCCAAGACATCTGCGGTATGTCCGCCTGTATTCCAGATCTTCACTGCTCAACGTTACGCGCATTTGCACAGAAATTGGACATTTAGCAATAGCCAGCTGTACTCTTTAGATATGACAATCGATTCAATCTGTTTAGATCAGGATTTCTTAAATGAGGGTCGCGGGACCTGCAGGAGGGGGTAGCCAAAAATTTTAGCAGTTTTGATATTTCTTTAACTTAGTATAATAATTTTACAATTACCAAATATTTTTACACAATGTTTCTGAAAATAGATAAAGATAAGACAACATAGACAAAGGTAGAAAACGAAAACGTTTCGACGCATTCGTTTTAGAATATAAACTTTGGAAGGAAAAAGGGAGAAATTAACTGTGCCGTCCCGGAATTCGAGCTTAGATCTTCCATGTGCTACCCGGATGTGCTACCGGTTGCACAATAACAGCATGCACGAGACAAAGAAAAAAAATTTTATTTTAAAACTAATATATTCAAAAAATGTAGTAATAAAATGTAGTTTTATCATTTGGTGTTTGCAAATGAAAATAAAAGAACCATCTATCGAAATAATTTATAAAACAGCCATTAAACTTCTAGAGGAAACTATTTACTGAAATCATTTGTCAAACTTCCTGAAAGGAAAACTTTACACATATGTTTCGGAGCATTATTACTTTGTAATACAGGAACGGGAAAAATGTGCAGCGCCTCAGCCGGTATTCGAACTCTGGATCTCCCGAATGCGCGTTGAGTGTGCTTCCAGCTACACCATGAAGGTATACGGAAAACAGGAAGAAATTACCTTATAACTTCATTATCGCCAATTCTAGGATTCAGTGTTAAAATCAAGAGTCTAAGAGTTTTCAGACCTTTTTATTCTTACACTCTTCTTTTAAATCTAAAATACTGATGATTAATTATTTGAGCAAGGTATTTCTACATCTTCCAATTTCGCTGGCCGAACATCAAAACAGTCTAATGAAGCGGAATGATGAAATTGCAAACCTGATATGCCATGAAAGGAAAATAACATTAAATGAGGAAAATATTTCCAAATGCGAGTTATTGCAATGAGCCTGAACCCTGTTTACGACAAATTTAATTCGAAGCAAAAAGCAATTAAATACACTTACTGGACTCAAGTGAAATACAACAAATCTTACTATACGTACAAAATGAAGCTATCTGCCTAATGTTACACGAAAATATTTCCCAAGTTATGTTATTAATTTTGCAAAAACACTATAATAAATGCTAGTAATAATTGCTGCTAGAAAATTGATTTTTAATAATGCGTAACTATTTAGTTAGCAGTCAATAATGCGTTAACATTCACACTGTAATACTTCGAAATTCGTATTGTTTATATAAAAGATTATAAATGTTTAAGTGAAAATTAAACCTGAAATACAACTTCTGCGATATAGCTGATAGGCGTTTTTATCAAAATGAGGATAATTCAGGTAAGATAGACTCAGATACTTTTTAACACGCTTCTTCATAACTGTACTTTCTTAGAGGTGTAGTTGTTAAAATGTGATAGTGTTTCGATCTAATTCATTCCAGTCTATAGTAGGCATAATTTGCACATCAATTACTGATTAGAAGTGAAATATATTTAATTTTAAATAATCGATAAGTACAAGCGATAAAATTATTTATGGCGATGAATCCTTACTAGACCAAATTAATTATTTCATACATAATTATTTTACACGTAAACCGTAGTGCTAAATTAAAAATTTTATATATGGTATAAATTGCTATTGATAAAAGAAACCTGAGGGGAAAAACTCTATGTTTGTCTTAAAACTTTAATTATACCCACTCTCTCTTAGCCCAGAAAAGGCTCGAAAGGGTATTTTATGGTGGTTCACTATAAACTGCGTAACACATTTCAAATATTTGTCACCAAATATTATCGCCTGTGTTATTTTTAAAGAAATTAAATAATGAAGAATCTGCATGTATGTACTCGCATGTATGTTCCTCACACTGTGAAAGAACAACGGTGCCTGCAGCCATCCAATTTTGAATAGCCTAGTTCTCTTCCCGAACAAGTGCACCTGGAAGCCGGAATTTTGAATTTGATTTGTGAATTTTTATTTCCTATTTTGTAAAACCTTAATGAATTTTTGATTAACAAACTCAACGAAAGCAAACTGTGGCAACACTGTTCTAAATAAAACATTTTTATCTCTAGCGCGCGAGACTGTCACCATTCGCAAAAAAAATGTAAGATATTTATCTTTCAGAACTAACAAATTCGGCTCTGTGAAAGCAATATGTTGCCGGGGGCCAGATATAAAATACTTTTATCCTCCACGGGTCTGACTGTTGCCATTCCGTAAAGCCTAAGATACTTTCAGATTTCATCTGGAAGATTTTTGAGTAGTACAGTAAGCTATTTAAAAGTAATGATCAGAGTTCTTCAGAATATTTATTAATGTGATTGATTTAAATGCACATGAACGGAAATCATCAGACGTCTAATTAGAAATTTTCAATATTTTTACGAAATGACACTAACTGGTTTCATTAAAATTATTATATACTTTTACTTTTTATGATAACTATTTTAGGCAACTGGCCGCACAAGTGGCTACTTTTTAAGGAACATACAGAGAATATGAAAATATGTGTGCGCCAATCCTCGTACACAGTATTCGGAATTCTAAGTATATACCGTTTTTAAATATTTTGAGATTTTGCTGCTGAACTGAATTTTATGTGGCGTGACTGCGAAGACAGTGATATTAATTAAATAAAAGCATAAAAAGTTTAAAATAAAAAGACAAAAAAAATTTTTTTGTTAACCACGTTGCTAAGAAAACTGCACACTCATATAATAAACTGAGAGAAGACTGAAAAAAATATAAAAATATATGCCAGCACTCAACATTGCATCGGGAATTTTAAACATATGTTGCTATGCCACTTTTAAAATTTTTGTGATTTTTCTGTTGAATGACCTACGTGCGAAGAAAACGAAGCTTAATAATAAAGCTAAAAAGACAAAAAGGAATGGGTTAGCAGGAGTCAGTGCAAGAAAAGACTAGTAGACTGCGAGCTCAGCGAGAGCATAAAAAACTCTAACAAATCATTTTGGGTGGCCGTTAAAATTTGAAATATTTCAGATACCCAATTTTTTTAAATGCGTTAAATACTTTATCTTTTATTTCGTACTTCATTAACGAAATTCATACAGCTTTCAGAGAAGGCCGAAACATCTGAAACCATGAGGTCGGTTTAGATAGGTTTACTGCAGCATGTGAGAAACTGAAAAAAATTCAAGTATCGGGTGGCCATAATTAAACTGACAGTGCTCACGGTGTTCTGTAGCGTGATCTATTTGCGAGAAAGACGCCACATTTTAAAGGAAGATTAAACAAGACGGGGGACGAAGGATTCCGCGAAAAAACAAATTAGTTCCAAAAGTCACTGCTAGAGAAATATTTGGCGCTGTGTAATAGAAAATAGAGTGTTAACAAATGCAAATCAATACGGAATAAAATTACCTTTTATTATGCACATTTTCTGATTTAGCTCACGTGCAATATCGCAACACTTTTAAAAAAGCGATAAAAGACAATGCCTGGGGGGAATCATTTTCATTCAAGATGGAGCCCCTCTGCATGGCCACCTCGTCGCCTGATCTTACCCCATGCGACTTCTGGCTATGGTGTTACCTTAAGTCCAAGGTCTATCAAGAAGTGGTCCAGGACCTGGCTACGTTGAAGTATAACATATCACGGACTGTACGGGAGATTCCTGCAGACATGTTACTTTCTGCTGTTGTGCATACTGTGCACAGAATGCAATATGTGGTCCACAACCACGGCACCTACATTGAGTCTCATTTGAATTCAAATAAAAAGTAATTTCCGTATTGATTTGCATTTGTTAACACTCTATTTTTTATTACATCGCGACAAATATTCCCCTAGCGGTGACTTTTGGAACTAATTTGTTTTTTCGCGGAATCCTTCGTCCCCCGTCTTGTTTAATCTTTCTACAAAATGTGGCATCATTCTCGTAAATAGATCGCGCTACAGAACATTGTGAGCACCGTCAGTTTAATTATGGCCACCCGTTATTTTAATTACTTGAAATAATAAGATTTTGCTTAAAACAAAATGGTGCGAGTTTCTTATTTTTTATTTATTATTCTCTTCCTTCTTAGTCGCTGCTGTTCTTTTGTTCCAAACCATCTTCGGAAAATTCTGATCACGGTAATTTACACCTATCAAGATAGGAAGAGCTCTATGCCTGAGGTCCCAGTCTAAGATTGAGATTTTCGATTCCAATGTTTGATGCAGATTGCTTAAAATATGATAATATGCTTGACAGCTTAGTTTACGCAATTTTCTGCCATTTTTTAATTTTCAAAAAATTGTCAAAATCTCAGCTAACCGTGACTTTTCAAAATTGCATTTTTAATCGAGCCTTGTACGTTGCAGTCGCTGACTGCTATACTTTTATAACAAAAGTCTTTTTCGGATTTCTATTGATTACTGAAAAATAATTGCTAAATATTATTTTCGTTTTTTCTCCTTGTGTCGAAATTCCAGTTTCAGTTTTTGTTATTATTATTTTTTTAAGCACATAAGGGTGTTAGCCCAGAAGGGCTATTAGTCTCGAAACGGCATTTTGCGTCGAATCGTTATAAACGGCTGTATCACCTTATAAATTGTTGCCACCAGATATTATCGTCCGATATTATATTTAAATAAAATTAAATAATGAAGTATATGCATGCATGTATGTTTCTCGCAATGTGAAATAACAACGATACCTACAACTATCAAGTTCTGACTAACGTAGTCCTCAACCCGAAGATGAGCACCTGGAAGCCCGAATCTTGAATTACGAAATTGTTTTATTATTTATTTCATATTTTTAACGAATTTTTGATTAAGAAACTCGACGATTTCAAAGTGAGCAGTAGCAACACATTGTTCGGAATAAATAATTTTATCTCCAGCGCGCGAGACTGTCTGTCGGATATTCCAAACATATGCTGCTTTAAAATATTTTTAGCCCAAATGCTCTCGAAACGTGTATGTTTGCGTAAATGAAGAAAAAAAAAACCCCTTTGGGCATAATATAAAATCCGAAAGCTTTCAGACTTTTTAAAAAACGTTTTTAATAATAATCATGCCGACGCAGTTAATGTAGTAATCAATAAAGGCAGTAAAGCTCCTCTCTACTCAGCGTTTGTACGGAGACTAATCCCTCCCGATCCTGGTTTTTCTTTAGTGTTTGTTATCGTGGGATAAAAACAGGTTCATGAGAAACTATAGGGCTATTTGCGTCCTTAAAATGTGGGTTCCTAGGCTGGACCCTGTAAGCCTAGTTAATAATGAGGTTCTCCAATTATATCAGATTTTGCGTAAAAGAGAAACGGCGTTAAGCAAACATCTGAAACAGAATATAAGAGCTCATGAATCATTGTGATGCACAAGCATTTAGGCGCTGGCGGACATTAACAAGTCTTTGGATTTGCTCCTAGGCAAGTGGCGGTGTATAGAGAATGAGCGTGAAGATGCCCTGCCGATAAAAGGCAATGGAATGGGGCTTTTGCGAACTAGAAGGTGCAGGAAGAAAATGGGATAAGTTAAATTTCTGCGAAGCCAACTACAGCGATTCAGAGAAGATGGACTATTGATGTGGAAGTTACAATATAAAGGCGGTGAAGGATACGTGCTATGCAAATGCAAATTGAATGATAAAATTTACAAATGAAAGATACAAACAATATAAAATTAATAAAAATAAACATATTTACAGAATGTATACAAAATGGTAGTATATGTAAAGTCCTTTTCCTTCACTGCTAGGATTCAAAAAGTCTTTAACTTCATCTCTGAAAAACAGTCAACCTGAAAAAATCTGAAAAAAAAAAAAAAAAAAAAATTAGCCGAAATAGTGAAAACCTGTATATTTCTGATTCATCTACATGTATGAAAAAAAAAAGTATTCAGTAAAAATTTTTTTCAAGAAGTTAAAGCTCTGAAATGCTGAGTGGGAGAACGGTGCACTGTAATCTCATTTCTTAAGAGACCTTTAAAAGTGGGGGGGGGGGGAGAAAAACTGAAGCAAAGCAGTTCGTTTGAAACCAGTCTATTCAGGGCATCAGAAGATATAAATATGTATAAGATATCCAAAGTTGTAGTTCTGTGCACGTGGATCTCCGTCTGTCTCTCTCCTCCCTCCCCATCATTGCTCTAAAATGGAAAGTGAGAATGCTTCTTCTACCGAAGATTGAGAAGATTGATTATTTCCCCATTTGAATAACAAATCGTCAGCGCTAACTTCTAAAACTTGTTTCAAATGCTACGGTGTCAAGGATAAATCGCTGTTTTAATTTTTGATGTATGCAGTTTTCACAGACACGTGTAGATATTTGTTTTAAAATTTCTGACTTTCATTAAAATAATTGAGAAGCATTTAGTAATAGCATCACAAATTAAATTTTAGAAAATGAGTTTATGATGGTTTGATCCTCGATATCCATTAAATGCATTGTCAATATAAATTAAAATCTCCAAAAGAATTTTAAACTATCCCTTTTACTATCCTTAAGAAGTAAAGGAAGCATCGTAATTGCGAAAAAAAGTCCATTTTGACCGTTCTCGAATCCATTTTGACTACTTTCTTGTGTGACATCTGCCCGTACGGACAGCTTAAAGGATTCTTTTCTCTAAAACGGATTATAAAATGGGATCAGAATGGATTATTTCGTGACGCCTGTGATCATTATTCCTCAGCAAACCGTCTCATCTTCGCTGATGTTATAACTAAATTCCTTAAAACTATTGAGAACATCTCATGTTCTTAGTACCCTTTAGCAGTTAATGCCCTCAGATTCAGATTTTAATTTACTTTCATTATTGAAAGGAACACAGCAAATTGTTGTGGACTCCAGCTCCTGCTTCTGAAGCATTTGAGAAGTGTCCTTTCTGCTATAAGATCAGATTAAAAGTTTCAAGTGTTACAATTGCTACTCTTTCCTATTCAATCCTCTGCATATAGTTTGCCATGATGCAAAAATCCAGCGGTGGCAGGGTTTCATGAAAAGAATGAATCAGACTGATTGGTTATTTCATCAAATATCGTTGTAAAAGTGGACATAATATTGACACTAGAGCATATATATTGGAGAAAACCAAGAAAATTAAGGGAGAATAGAAATACTCCTTTGTTAACACAGGTAAGATAATGAAAAGCTTATTCAGCCGAAAAAAGTAAAGTGATGTTAAAAATTTAAAAAAAAAAATTTAAATACACAAAACACTTTTTAAATTGAACGTTTTAGTTAAATATACTGAAAGCATAAATTATTTTAGGACAAAATATTTATGGTTATTTATGGTTATTTATGATTAAAAATATAATCGTGGGGCTGAAAATATGTCTGATTTTAAATCAAAATTATCAATAAGGAGTTAAAACGAACTGAGTGTAAACAGTCTTGTATATATCATATCCATACTAATGCTTTTATTCTTCCTGGAAATTATTTTAATATCGTAATACACTTTTATATGGAAACACTGCAGTTTATTAGTCACATACGATAGCTAAAATATCCTTAGTAAATACAGAAAAATCACTACCTCTCAACCTAGTATATTATTCCTACTAATCTGGAAAAAGATAACATTTAATTTATTTTAATTTCTTTTTAATTTGGAAATCTTATCTCACCATCTCTTAAAATCATGAGGTTACTAACAATGAAGATTAAATACTCTGTTATAAAAATCCGTCATTACTAACAACAAGCTAAAAATATCAGATTCGACAAATTACACTAGGAATTCGAAGAAACATTAATTTGGACTGTTATTTCGAGCTCTGTCCGATGGTGTAAAGATCAAAATTCTGGGCTTTTCAGTTAAATATCCAGTTCTAAATAGTATAAATGTATATATATATATATATATATATACATTCCTGGCCATCCAAAATGCAACACGAAGAAGAACAAGAGGTATTAAAGTCAAATTTATTTCAGGGATTACATATAATGGAAATTTTAAATTGATTTCATATACAGCCTTCTTTGAGGTGAGGAAGACGAGAAAATCAGAAATGAGTGTTGCCTCTATATTTGTCAATAACCGATGCTAAACACCGCGGTATTGAACGAAAGAGGTTGGCGAATGGCAGCTCATGTTACCTCCACACATAGCATAACACAACAGTCGAGCAGCCTTTCTCCACGATGTCTCCAAGCTCTGATCCGACCATCGTGGTTCTGCAGGCAGAAACGTGATTCGTCGGAAAATACAATGTTAGGCCATTTGGATAGTCATCAACGCCGTTAGTGCATCATTGCAAACGCAAAATGCCTGTGGTACAAGGCAATGAATGTCTAGCGGACAGTCCATTGCACTGTAAACGTCGTCGCGTTGTTCGTGCAGAAGCCGATTGCTATATTACAGATTACGCTTTTTGTGATATTGTTGTAGATGTTTCAGTGTGTCTGCAACAGTGCCATGTGCACAATATGCCTGTCTTTCCGTGGAGTGGTGCGACGAGGCAGTTGCAGTTGTTTCAGTTAATTAGTGGTTCCCTCCAGCGTCCTCCTATTCCATATTCGCATGACTATTGCTTGGCTATCTTCGACACGATGGCCGATTTCCCAGAAGGATAATCAGCAATCTCTGTACGCAACGATTCTACCTCGGTCGAACTAAAAAACGCGCTCGAATGATGCTCATGTTTTTCTAGCATACTGAAGCCGCATACACAGAAAATCTCACGAAAGAACAACTGGTGTTACTAAAAACATTGATCTTTCCCCGCTTTATATACGGATTGTAAGGGAGCGTTGCAGTCGCCTATGATGCTCTCATGCGCTGAAATCGTAATCATTTGCATATTCCATCGCCGTGTACAAATGATGCAAGTTTCATGTTGTTTGGATGCTTACGTCATATGAAGTTGCATTTTGATGGCCAGCAGACTATATGTATCCCAGATATATCATATATCTATATGTATATATATATATAAGACGTAAAGTATGCAGTTCAAAATTACCAACTTTATTTTAGCAATAGTGCTTTTTAATTCCTCATTGTAATTTGGCTACATCCTCTTCCTGGAATCTAAACTACGTCACTTAAAAATTAATCTGCATAATGTCATCTACACTAAGGTTAGCTCTTGTTCACTCACCGTTCAAAATTTAGACAAATGATTTCAACTCTCATATATACGCTTTAAAGTGGGCAGGTTCTTCTCTTGTCTTCCTCTCGCTGTGCAAGCGTGTAAATTGCTATATTTCCTCCACTCTCTCGAAATGTGATAAGATTTATATAGAACTATGGGGTGCTTGTTACACGCACAGTGACATGTAAATGAAAAAAATGTACCCTAAAAAATTATTCATGAATAAAATAAATTATGCTGTGAATCTACGACTGATTTTGGTCTTCCAATTCCATCCGTCTATTTCTCATTCCATTTGCATGCGAGCAATATCTATAACCATCTCGGCCATGACCAAAAGATATTGTTATCTCACTATCCTCGAGTCATCATCATCTACAAAATTATCCCATATACATATATATATATATATATATAATTATAAAAACTCCGCTAAATTGTTATTTTAAGTACAGTATAATACAATCGATAAAAAGCGTTCAAAAATTAATTTCAAAATTTCACTCAAACAAACAGAGAAGTTAAGTTAAGCAACACCCTGTTAAATCTTCATAAAATGATAAAATTTTAGAAATTTTAATTAGAAAGTTGCAGCTGTATGGCTGTCTTTATAACAGTATTTCCATTCGTCTCTTGCTTTATAATTCCTCAAATTTTAATTAATGTTAACTTGGATAATTTTTACCAGATTATATTAGCACTATTTGTTCATTTAGTTACAATTTGTCTTAACCATGAGACCAATAAAAACTTTAAAGTTCCTATAGTTTTATTAAAAGATGACTAATAATGTGGGAGTCTGAAAGTCTAGTTTGTGAGTTTATTTCTTCATTCGCAATGATTGGTTTAGGATCAATCACTTAATAGTTATTTAGTAGTGCAGTCCTTTCTAAGTACCTTTGTATAATAGAATTTAAAGTTTCTTAGTTTTGTTTAATTGGTAGTTTTAAGCATTATTAAGCAACTTTCAGGCCTAAACATAAAAAATAGCAATAAACTAAATAGATCCAACATATGACACTGAGCAAACAAAAATGCAGTAATAGATTCCCCCCCCCCCAAAAAAAGGAAGAAAAAGCAAATATATCATCTGAAAGATCGGAAACTGAATTTTAAAGTAAAATTATTTTTCGCTTTAATTACAGAAGTTCTTAACAGTACACAGAGGAATTGTTCACCTTGGAATGTTTTCGATCGTTCAATTCCTTTAATGCACTTTTTTTTATTTTGCAAATAAAAAAAAAAAAATAATAAACAAAATTTTTAGTCTCCGTCTAGGAAATTGAAAGTTTTATTTAGTTTCGTTATCTGTTCGTTCATATTACACATAAAAATTCGTTTATATTACGCATAACTCATTCATATGACCTGTAACAAATTATTGCATTCATATTTTTAGCAATTTTCCTTTTTCACATTTCTAAAAAAAATTTGAAAAGTTTCAGATTTTAAATTACGTCCGAAGGCGCGTTTTTTTAACTTTTTGTGTTGCCTTCATTTATTAAATATCATGTTCTTCGCATTTAAACCATAAAATTTAGTTCAATAGTAATATCGCAAAATAATTTTAAAATGAGCTTATCTTTAAAATTTCCGATACACAGTTCCGCGCGCTGGAGATAAAAAAGTTTTTTTTTCTTCCCCGTAGAGTGTTGCCATTGCTCGCTTTTAAATCGTTGAGTTCGTTAATCAAAAATTCGTTAAAGTTTTACAAAATATGAAATCGATAATAAATCAAATTCAAAATTTGGGCTTCCAGATGCCCATATTCGGGTGGAAATGTACCTTATTTAAAACTGACTGGCTCTAGGTACCGCTGTTTTATCAGAATGCGAGAAACATACATACATTTATGCAGATTCTTCATTATTTAATTTCTTTATAATACAGGGCGATAATATTTGGTGGCAACAATTTGAAAAGTGAATTGGACATTTATAGTGAACCAATTTAAAATGCCCAAACAAAAATAATAGTCTTTCAGGGCAAATTGTCCCTTTGGACTAATAATAATATTATTATGTTTGAGGATATTCATTTGTGTCTTTTTGCTTTTGCAGATGTTTATAGATATGAGCACATGAACTTGTTATTATGTAAAATAAACTGAGAAATATCATTGTTTTAGTTACGAACGATTCGAAATGTGTGAATGGCAACGTCATTCCTCCTTAGTGTAATATTACCTAAACTTTCGCTAAAAATAGTCTCGCAGTACGTATACCAGCATATAATCGAAAATTAATTGTTGCCATAAAATTATTTAAAAATATAAATTAAAAGAAAAGGGTGAACTTATTTTTAAATAAATTTTATTTGAAATAAAATGCAAAACTTACCGATGCTAGATTATTGCTGAAATATAACTTTCAAATAAACAGCGATAAATTTTACTACGCAACAATAATGCAAAATCTGAATAACTTACTCTTTCAAGAAAGCAGCTCTTCAACAGATTGCTAGCGCGGTGCTTTCACCATGTTGCTTCAGAACCACTGCGAAAAGAAAACAAGAGCAGATGTCTCGGAGCTCAGTTCCTCCTATCATCTCTCTGACCTTCAAAATTCTAGCTTCTTTCAACCTTGCTCATAAGGAAGGTAAATAAATAAATAAATAAATAGCGAAAACCAGCTTCATCTCTGGGTTTAATTTCCCGTTAGACAAGTGGAGTTCCCACGGAGGGAAAAAAAACCACAAGAATAGCACAGCGAATTTTACAATTAACATGAAAATAGGTGTCAAACTGTTATGAGTTTGCCTCAGAAAATATTGACGAGTGTATAAAACTCGTTTTTTTCCCCCGAGTCTAAATTATATCCTGAATTTTTAATTAAAATGAAGTGTTTTTTAAAGTACTCAGTTGCATGATAACAGTACTTCAGAACTCGAATAATCCAAATTCTAGTTGCATTTACTCCAATTAATTGGATAACTTGTTTTTCTTTCTAGATCAAATCAAGTGACGTTTGTTGGCAATTTATTTATGCATTTGTGTATTTTTCGTTCATTTAAATAGTAGAAAACACAGTATGATACAATATATATTTAAGATTAAATTAAACTACTTCAGATGAATACATATAGCACGTAGAATTACCGTCAATATTGAATAACTATATAATCTATAAACACTAATTTTAAAACTTTTATATGCTGTATATAGGTCTAATTGTTCTTTATTTATTCCATGATCCATGATTTAGCAGTAACAAAAGTCTTTTCTAAAAATAAGCTAAACTAATTTGGTGTTTTTGTGTCAACGTTCCCAAGTTCTCTTTTCCAAGAAAGTAGTTTTTATTTTACAAGATATATAGCGTAGCTGCAGTCAGTTATTTTTCGGAACGAAGCAACTGGTATCTTAATTAACTAAAAGATAATTCCTTTTTCTTCTTTTTGTTTTGGGGGGAATCAAATAAGAGGTATCTCGTGTTTTATTTTATGAAAATACATATATTTGCTTTTAAGTTGCATTTATCTTTATTGAAATAAAGTATAATAATCACAAAAAATTAATTATTTTCCTCATATTACGAAACAAAGTATAATAATCGAAAAAAATGAATTCTTTTTTTCATATTACACTAAATATGTATTTGGCCTACAGAAAAGAAAACACATCACAAATATCAATATTTGTTATCCGAACGACACAATTATACGAATACTGAAATGCGAATGGACGATGGCTTCAGATAGCTAAGGCGTAGTGATATTCTAACTGGAAAAACAAAGAAAAGTCTTCGGAAATATCGATCATTTTCTGTCTAGGCTCAATTTTAAATTCATTAATGTAATAATATTAAAAGAAGAATGATTTACAAACAACTAATCCATGCCTAATCTCTATTTAATGAATTTCTCCAATGTTCCGGAGAGAAGTTACTTAGAATACCTCGATTTAAGGAATATTTTCTCCTGCTTAAGGAATTTTATACAGATTTTATTAATCTTGAAGAAGTTTTATATTTTTCTAATTTTCAAGCTTGAAGTAATGCTTTGCAAAAGAATAAACTACTTTAGAACTCGCATGCAGCCATATAAGCCTTAAGCTTAATTACTGCTGCATATAAGCCTTATTCACACGTATACAATCCAATTCACGTGTGTTTTCTCTTCAGATGTTGAGATCTGAACTAATTATACAGGCGAATTTCGACTTTAAGTAGGGAAATAATTCGATAATTTAAAATAAAACACAGAAATTTATTAGTCACACGGGCATTGGAGAAATCGAAAATTAAATTTCAAACTATAAATTTTAAACTCGAAATTCTTTACGCGATGAGCGGATTTTAGTCCAAAGGGGCTTTGTCCCTGAAAGACTATTGTTTTCGTTTTGCGATTTTGCGTTGAAAATTTTAAAAGGCTGTATAACTTTTCAAATCGTTACCACCAAATACTATCGGTCTGTATTATATTTGAAGAAATTAAATAATGAAAAATCTGCATAAATGTATATATGTTTCTCGCACTGTGATAAAACAACGGTAGCTAGAGCCATCCAATTTTGAATAACGTAATCCTTCACCCGAATATGGCATCTGGCAGCCCTAATATGGAATTTGTTTTATTATGTATTTCATATTTTGTAAAACTTTAAGGAATTTTTGATTAACGAAGTGAACGATTTCAAAGCGAGCAATGGCAACACTGTACGGGGGGGGGACTTATTTCCAGCGAGCGAGACTGTGTATCGGAAATTCTAAAGATATGTTCTTTTTAAATTATTTTTTATATTGCTGTTGACTTGAATTTTATGATTTGAATGCGAAGAACAACTCACAAAACGTAAAGAAAGAAAACAAAGAAAAGCCCCTTTGAGGGCATTATAAAATCTGAAAACTTTCAGACTTTTATAAGAAGAAATAAAATTTAACTGACCAACTAGTTTTCATGCTATGATGGATTTGTCGATATTGATTTAAACTCGGACACATTAACATTTTGGGGTATAATTTGATAATATTAAACCGATTCTGAATATGAGAAGTTATATTACATGCATATCCATCCCCCTTACCCGGCTCGAAATTCCATAGCCGGACTTTATTTTCGTAATCGTTGGTCGTGGTCCAATTACCAATATTTCCAATTACAGAAGTGTTTTAAACAACGAAAATGTACGAGTTTTGGCAAATGTCAAATTAAAAAAGCACTGTAAATTGAGTATGAGAAGGAAGTATAATGAATTGCATTATTAAGCTACCTCTTAAGGTAGTCTATATATATTTTTTCCTCTTAACGAATATAAAACTTTTCTAAATATAAATGCAGGAACCAAGAGACCGCATTAAAAGTTAAATCTCGTTATTTGCCGAAAATTATTATTCTTTTTTTTAAATTTGACATTTGCCAAAACTCGTACAATTTCGTTGTTTAAAACACTTCTGTAATTGGAAATATTGGTAATTGGACTACGACCAACGATTACGAAAATAAAGTCCGGCTATGGAATTTCAAGCCGGGTAAGGAGGATGGATATACATGTAATACAACTTTGGTACTGCCGATTTCAGTAAAAAGAGAAGGTGCAGAACTAGGTGTCATAGCAGTCCCATATACAAAATTGCAATCTTCTACGGCTAACCATTTTTGAGTTAAGCGAGATACATACGTACGTACAGACATCACGAAAAAAAAAGTTAAAATGAATTAGGGAAAGGCCAGAATAGATAGTTCTGTTGAAATCTGATAACCAAAGTTTTGTGAGATTACAATACTCCCTTTACTTCGTATAAGGAAGTAAAACGGGAAGTTAAGCGAGTTTACTTCTATTTTTATGTAATAAGCTTTATAATAAATTTTATGTAATATTTTTATGCAATAAAATTTGTACTTACTGTGTAGTTTATAAGCTATGATTTTAAAAATATTCCATGAAATTATGAATTCACAGTACTTGCACACAAAATAGCTTTTCATTATTTTTTTACTGAGATCTTCATTTTGATGTGAATGCAAAATTTTGTGTTTTAATGCAGATTTATGTATCTATTTTAGTGTACCTGGACTTAAGAATAACCCTAATTAATTTTCTCCCCAATTCAGGGTAATTAACTCTGAATTCAGTTAATTATATACGTGACCCGTCAACTTAATGACACTACACGACTGATTTATACCCAACTAAAACCCTCGATATCAGGCACGGGGCGGGCTCCCAGCAATAAGCCACCTTGGAGATGGTCTAACACTCCAACTGAGGTCCCGGTGTCCACATCACCAGGACAACAGCTTCAAATAAATCTACACCAGCTAAGCTGGCCCACCGCTAAACTCGTCAACCAAGACCACCGTCCCAGCGATCAGAGACCAGGATGAGTGGGTTGAATGCCTGGAGCTTTGACTGGTCGTTGAAAGTGCTACCCGCCAGTACTACACGGGCTACCCCTCCCTCCAGGTCTTGCACGGAATTCCAAGGACAGCGGGACTGGACGCTCAATGGCCCAGACTATTATTTGGCTATCGAGGCCCTAGTTACGGGGATTTACGCCACCCGACCCGTGAAAAATGGAGATGAGCCCCACCCCACGGATCATCGGGAACCGCCAGGCTCAAAAATATTATACCCCCGTGGCCGAGGCTACCCAGGTACAGATCCTAGCCAGTAGCTTCGCAGAGTTCTCTACGTCGACCCCCGGAGGGTGAATTCAGTTAAATAAAATATTAAACCGTTCAGTTATGGATTAATATAATGCGTTTTAATTGCACAGAGGTTTTGATATCAATGTAGAAGTAATTATAACGCATTACATTTGCAATTATTTGCATTTTAAAATTCTAAATATTCTTATACAGTTTGCCAGAAAAAAAAAATGAATTTCTTATCCAAAAAATGTTAAAACGACTGAGGTAAAGAAAAACTTTCCTCATTCAAAAGAAAACTGCAAACCGAAATTGCAGTTTGTATGACATTTTATAACTGCCTTATACGTGTGTACATATCTGCATCTTCGCGCGTACATAACCTACGTCTGTAACTGCGTTCTTCCGTGCATGTTTATACGTACACTGCGTAAAAAAAGGGGGGGACAGCTCTGTATCTCCCGTTCTACTGGGCCAATTCACGAAATTCAACCTTCGCTTTTCATGTCTCGAAAGCGCGACTTAGGATATGTATTAGATTTATATATAGCATTGTTCTAATACAGGTATTTTGACACAAAATCGGACTTTTTCTGAAATAACATGCCAATTTATTTCCATATTTCGATTCTACTATTCAAATTACGCCAAACTACCAAGTCTTGTAAAAATCGGAAGGGTAGTTTTTAAAAAGTTAGCTCTTAAAATTATAGATCCTCAGTGTTAATTCAATTTATTAACATTGAGGTATAATGAAGTATTAATCTCTCTTTTTTATTAAACTTATTTGATTCTTCCTTTCACATTTCGAAATTTAGGTTCATTCCAAATAAAATTCATCCGTTTTTTATTATTTGTTTTTAAAATATGTATTTTTGAATAATTTTTATAAATTTTTCCAAAAATTTTTTGAATTATAATCTATAAAATTTTGACCATCATCTTAAAGTAGACGCATTTCTAAGCATACCTGCAAAAAATTACAATTTTTTATTCAAA